GAAGCCAGCTTCGCCAGATTTTAGCTGGTTTATTTGTGGATTGGGAAGAGGGTAATTGTTGCCGGGAGCTTCCCAAGGAAGTCTGCCGGCGTAAATATCTTGTATTCGGTTGGCATAGTAATTCCTGGCAACTGGCATTTGATTTGCCTGAGCTTGCACCTGAGCGTAAGGCTCTCTGAAGTAAACATTGGCAGGATCAGCTTGCCGTATGACCTGAGGCGCTTGCATAAGTTGACGTGGTTGGCCGTGTTGACGCGGCTGGTCTGGCTGTGCAATCCCAGGAACTTGAATATTGCCGCGAGCCCGAGCTTGAACAGGCTGGCGCGCGCGGTCTGGCTGAAGAGGTCTTGCATTCTGATTCTGTGGTCGACTTGGCCGGGGAGGTCTAGCATTCTGCTTCTGTCCCGGACGATTCACTCGGATCTCTTCCTCGGTGACATCAGGGTTCTCTGCCAGGATTTTAGCGATAGCATCTGCTTCGACTTGTTCAATCTCTTGGTCAACCTGTCTTCCAAGTGGAAATCTTTCAGTCTGATCCCACAAGCGGCAATGGGTTGGCGGTCGATTGAAGTGTTCGTAGGTGGCACCGAGTTTGACGTTGCAGACATAGCACATCTGAGTGCCGCATTTCGAGCAGGTCATCTTGTTGCAGCCATCGGTTTTGACAATCTTCACCTTGCAGGTTGGACAAGGCCGGATGAGTGCCTCACTCAGAGCCTCTTCTACGCGATGGCGGTATGGGAGTTGCTTGTCTTTCCTAGCCTCGTCGCAGCTGCTCGGGAGATGACTTTTCTCCTTACACAAGCGACAGCTAACCACTTCGCAGTCAGGGTTCCTGCACCGAAACTCTCGATCCTCATCGGCGGGAGCACATATCCCCTGGAAGTCGCAGAAGGGACAGGACTCGAGGCCTTCCAGCCCAGCTTGCCCAATCTCGTCCTGCTGCTGAAGAGCATCGAGCTTTTGCATGAGCTTCGCTCCCAAGGCACGCTCAAGCCCATATCGATCAAATTTTGCCTGACATCCACTCCCGTCAAAGCATTGTAGCTTGTATCTCATCATCCCAACTTGTGTCTCTGCGGAAGACTTAATGCAAGTATAGCAGAAGAAATGAACGTCAAGTCCTTCACATGGCAATGCTTTGTTCGCGGGGACCTCTTCGAAACAGCACTGGCATTCCACTAGGTTTCCAGTTCGAATGTTGCGCTCTTCGGCTTCCTTATCGTCAACATCTTCGAAGTTGTTACGGGGGACCGCTTCGTTGCCATCAAGCGTCAGAGACTGGAGATTCTTATCCAAGGAAGACGACTTACCTGCATTCATCTGCTTGGTCTGCTTTGCAGCTTTTGCAGCCGCCTTGAGTTCGCGTTTGAGGTTATCCATGATCGGTAGGGTTTCCGGGTACGACTTGTACAGGCTTGTATGTGAGCGAGGATTGCGGATTCGTTCGTTCTTGTAAGGCTTGGATGACTTGGCCGAAGGGTCTTCCAGGGCATACAGACTGAGATACGCAGCGTATAATTCTCTTTTATGCAGGGTGAGGTTCTGGATATATGTCCAGGGCACAGTATGGAATTCAATCGCCAACAACCGAGCACTAAAAATGTGATTTTCAGCTTGCTTCGTATAAGAGGGACAACCGGTAGGGGCCTGGTCTCTCTTACGTGATCTCAAGGTACAGAGGGCTTCCTCTTTGAGGAATAGCCTTCAGCCACTTCTGAATATCGTCTTCCTTATTGGGGACTGAGTCACGCTCGTCAAGCGTTCTCTTAAGCCGCTTCTGCTTTCTGGGGTAAGAAGGGTTCTGAAGGATTTCTTCGATGACAGCGCCTTTCGCTAAGTCTTTATCAGTGGCAGTGAGCAGAATCTCTGTCTTTGCTTGAGACACCAGCGCAAGATGGCGATCGATCAGACGCTTTAAATAATCCGGATCAATGTCTGGGAAGATCTCCAAGATCTCGGTTAGCGGGTGATCATCTTCCGTAAGATCAATGAGCACAGGGGGACCCTTTGAAGCTCTTTGTTGTTGCACGGCGTTTGAGTCAGGGTCAGTGTTGCGGTCTTGGGTGTGCACTGCTGGGATATCGCCCCCATCCATCGGCCGATCTGTCCTTTGTTTCTTTGTAGGCCTTTGATCTGCGGAGGATAGATCGTGATTCAATTCATTATTGTTTGCAAACGTTCCCCAGCGACCGGCCTGATCCAAGTCAGCCAGCTGGAGGTCTTCATCGAAGCCATAGTAAGCGCTCTCATAGTCCATGGTCTGGAACTCCTCTAATTCCCGGAGGACTTGCGATACGCTAGATGCGTAGGGATGACGAGATGCCATGGTTGCATTCGGAGAAGTCATCAAGGTCGGTGCTGAGACCCGGGGAATGGTTTTCTTGCGACTCGTCGGATCTATTTGGTAGTGATGGATGATGGTCTTCTGGTATGGTAAATGGGCCGAAAGGCTAGATTAAGGAATCATGCACCGGGTACAGTGTCTTGTAAATCATGTTGTAGAGCAGGATAAATGCCGCTTAAGGACGGAGTGAATACAATGGTAGGTACTACAGGAGGCGTTGAACTAGGCGCACAATCAGTGCTCACAAACAGATATTGAGTATGATGAGTAAAGAAGTTGTGAGTTGTGAGTTGTAATGTTGCTGGATTTATGATCTGCGCTAGCTTTGGTCAAGCACGGGCGGGAGATTGCGGCTAGGCTAGGCTAGGCAGTAGGCACTGATAACAATAAAAGCTGCCCACCGATAAATGCTTGGAACATGTGAATGAGCGATGACGGCTTTTGCAGACTGGAGAGAATCAACACTGTCTCGGTGAATGAAGACTTTGAAGTTGCCAGATTTCCTGAGCGAGGGGTGGGGTGCAAGTTGTTGTTGGGAAGGAGGGAGGGAATAGTAGCGGAAGGGGAAATGCATCAACAGAGCTGGAGCAGTGGATTGAAAGCTAGCATATCGTAGTGGGGAAATGAAGTGTGGTTGACTTGACTGACTTGACGGCTCTGGGGAAAGGAAAGGAGCTGAGAGGGGAGGCAGTAAGTGGTAGCTGCCTGGCTGACCGCCTCCTGGATTAGGAGAATGACAATCCCTCCCACCCCCTCCTCCCCCGTCGGTCCCCGATAAGCCGGAGATCCGACTTATCGAAGAATTGAAAGGCTAGCGACGGGGTATGTGGTTTTTTAGTTACTTTAGTTTACTGTCAAATTTACCTATCAACAAGAATCGGGATCATCCCAGATCTTCAAGACACACGCCTTACAGCATCATTTATTTTAGCAGCACTCTGCCCTTGGCATTGGTCATCACCGATCCAAACAAGTGTGAACAATTGCAGCTGACCTACAACATTCAGAGTATATTTGGTACAGTCGGTACGGTACGCCTCTCAACTGGGGAAAGGCAGCGCTTGTCGTCGCTTGTCCTCGGCCACCTCCGCAAATAGGAAACCTTCCCCGTCGGAGTTGACTTCCTTTGGTACCATTGTTGTTAGCTTGCCGTACCGTCATCGAGCCAGAGCATTCATCTCTTATATTACCAAAGACCCCCTCCCCCCCTTGCAGCTCCTCCTTTCCCCATTCACTTGTGAAATACGTACAGTCCACGGGGTTTGCCGTCGCGTTTACAATTGAGTGTGGAAACACGTCACCGGGTCATTCGCCTTCGTACATATACCAAGCTCCATCCGTTCCACGGTTCCTCTCCATCCCAAGACAGGAAACGTCCACTTCCTTAGTGTTTCTGAAGAAACCATGATTGCTGCCGATAACACCTACACCAACGGGGTTGCTCTCCCGCAGGGTGATTCCCCAGACCTCATTCTAGTCCCGGCGACTCCCGCGGAGAAGCTCGAAGCTCTGAAGCTGAACAGCATCGCCTGGAAAGGCCGTCTGGACCTCGACACGTATATCGCGCGCGAGAGTCATCTCCATGCGCAGCAATTGATCAAGCATGGCCTGACCAGCTGGATCCTAGTCGATAGCAGAGAGCCTGAAGGAGATAGAACCATCCTAGGCTCATGCGAAACATATAAGAAGAAGGCTTGGCTAGCGCACGACGGCCGGGTGGAAGATGTCTCAACGCACGGCATAGGAAGTGTTTACTGCCGGCCTGAGTTCAGAGGCAAGGGATATGCGAAGAGGATGATGGAGGAACTCAGCAAGAAGGTCGACACCTGGAACATGGAGTCTGAAAGCAGGAAGAAGGCTATCTTCAGCATCCTCTTCTCCGACATCGGGAAGAACTTCTATGCTCAATTCGGCTGGAAGCCATTTTTGTCTTGTCATTTCGCGCTCCCAGCAATTGCTGAGGAGCAGTATTCTTCGACCGGGGCCGAAGATATTCTTCCCAAGGTCAAAACGTTGACTGCAGAAGATGTCCGAGACCGCGTGTGCAATGAGCAAATCCTAGAGAAAGAGCGCGAATTCCTCCGAGTGGAATCCCTGAAGACGCACACTCCTAGAATCGCAATTGCGCCGGACTATGATCATCTCAAATGGCATTGGGCGAGAGAGGAGTTCTTCGTCAAGTCTCTCTTCCCGGAAAGAGAAGCCCCCGCAGTGAAAGGCGCGGGCGAAGAAGCAGCGCGGGTATACTGTGCATGGAACAGGAATTTCGGTTCAGAGCCGGAGGAAAATACTCTGTATATTCTGCGGTGGGTGTATGAGGAGCCAACGTCGCCGGAAGAAACACAGCGCACAATCAAGGCCATGGCTGCCATCTTGAAACGCGCGCAACTTGAGGCACACAAGTGGAATATGAGCACGGTGGAATTCTGGAATCCGACACCCCTTTTGCAACAGGCAGTGGCCATGATCGCGCCCAATGCCGAGTTAGTTCACCGTCAAAAGGACAGTATCGCATCGTTGAGATGGAGCGGCGCCGAGCATGGATTGGGCGAGACAGTGGAGTGGTGCCTGAACGAGAAGTATGCCTGGTGCTGATGTGTTTATGATTTGCATTTTAGGAGCCGTGCATTTGGTGGAAGAATACATTAGAGCGTCACCGCTTCTGTCGCTTTTGATTCTTGAAGAGCTCGTGCCAGTTTCTGGACTTCTTGGCTGCGGTGGCAGCACTCGCATCGGTGGGCAGATTCTTCTTGGACCGCTGTCGTTCGAATTCAGTCACGAAGGAGATGGTCGTCGGGTCGGGCAGTTGATAAACGGCGTCCTGTAATTAATACGAAGGTCAATGGAGACCGTCTTTTGCATGCACAGAACAAATACCAGCTTACCGTCAATTTAGCCAGAGCCACCTCCTCCCTCCAAGCCTCAGGTAGATGATCCTTCCAAGCGTTGAGGAACTCACTGCGGCCAACCGCCGCACTCGCCATGGGCGCCATAGCCTCCAGATACGTCTCTCCAACCCAACGTACACAAACCTCCCTGTCCAAACTCGCCCCTAAACCAGTAAACCCCAAACGTCAGCAAACCACGACAATAAACCCGCCACACAGGATCGCGAAGATCAACTCACACTTCAACTTCTCACCGAGCAACGACTTCCCCTCCTCCCCCTCAACCACCCTCCGCACGATCGCCTCAAACAAAGCCCGGGGGATCTGCCCATCCTCATCCTCATCCTCCACCACCACCGACTTCCACAGATCATCCACCAGAAACTGCGTCCGAAGATCAATTCCCTGCACGACCGCCCCATCGACCATCCGCTTCCACACCTCCATCCTGACCTCCGGCGTCGGCACCCACGCCCTGCCCCGCCACACAAACGCACACCCCTCCACCCAAACCCTCTCACACTCCGCCCGGGAAACCGGGATATCAGTGAACACCGTCTCCATCACCTTGCCGTCCTCCGCGGCCCCAGCACCCCCCTCCCCCTCCCTCTCCCTAGCACTACCCGTCGCAGCAGCAGCACTCATCCCCGGGGCAAACCGCCCCACCAACGCCCCCAAGAACTCCGCAGCCCGGAACCCCCCCTCCGGCACATGCAACTCAAGCGTCGACCCGCATTTAGCGATCGTCGTCACCGTCTCCGCCAGATCGACACCTACATCCACATCAACGTCCACATCAACGTCCATATCCCCATCCCCCTCCCCCTCCCCCTTAACCCCTGACCCGACCCGCCCCCCATTCGAACCCTGTGATGCGGCAGCAACAGCAGCAGCAGCCCTTACATCCACAATAGCCAAATCCTCGCGCCGGAGGACCGTATCCCTTCCCCCCATACCGCTAGGCCTCAAGATATGCAAGGAGTTCGACGACTGGACCTGCCGGATACGGTAGGTTTGGGTCGGGGTGCAGAGGTTGACGTATTCGCGGGAGTCAGTCGGTCTACTGCTGCTGCTGCTGCTGCTGCTCGTGGTGGGCTGTGCTGTGGTTGGCGTGGGGGTTTTGAGGTAAAATCTTTTTTTTTTCTTCGGGTTAGCATTCCCATATAGCCTTTCAAGCTCCTCGGGGGACAGGGAAGGGAAAAGTGACGTACGTAGGAGGATGGTCCGAGGTGAGGAGGTCCGCGACCTCCGGGGGCAGTTCGAGTAATCGGAAGCCTTGTTGCGGGGCTGTGTGGGTGAAGAGGATGCTTGGAGCGGATTGGGTGGACATTTTTGTTTCTTGTTCGCCTCGACTTGGGGCTTGTGATTGTAATGACCGTTTAAGAGTAGAGAGGAGATTGAAGGAGTGGAGGGGAAAGGAGGAAAGTTGGGTTTCCTCTGCAGGTGGAAATTCGGAGAGTTGACGCGGGACGCGTGCTGGATGGGGAGGAGTCCGCGCCGTTGATAGACGCACGGGCCACCGCTTAATGGGCGGTGGTGCTCTTATCGGTCTCTTACTGGACCTGGAAGTTCGGTCCCTTTTTCTATCTATCAGTGATTTATTATCGATTAAAATCTCCATGATTCCTCTAATGAATCTGATTATGATATATAGATATAGAATATAAAAAGGTTGAGTCTATGCTTTATACTATAATCGGAAATCGACCCATCATGATCAGGCCGACGACACCATGCAAAATATTCTAGTAAGCGATTATCGACAAATCACAACGCAGAGAACAAGGAAAACGCCAGGGTACAGTACATTGGAAACATGAGAAAGGACGTCAGCCTATGGCCAGCACAGGGAGTGGCATGTCAAACATGAACAGAAGATGGCTCGATACCTGTCAGCAGAAGAAAGCTCAGTTAACGCTTAGCTTCTTCCATCTGAGTACCGGAACCCTCACCGCTATGCCCAGTACCACCCCTCTCTTTCACAGCTGGCTGCGCTAGAGGACCTTCCTCCGAGCCCTTGGGTGTCTCGCTTGAGGAACCACCTGAAGCGGCGGTCTCTTGCTTCTGATCCTCGGCGATTGCGTCCTCGACGAATGCATGGTCGATATCCCACTGCGTCTTGGCATCCTTGAACAGGGTCTGGACGCGCTCCGCACGGTCGGCCTGGTCTTTCTCCTCCATCTCGCGTTCTTTCCGTTCCTGCTCCATCTCCTCCATGTGCCGCAGGTCGTCCACGCTCGGCTCGTAAAGATGCCAGATCGTGTAATGTGGGAGGCCGATGACCGAGAATCCCATGCGCTTGGCCATCTACCGAGAGTTAGTATCATACACGCAACGATAACATCAAAATCCCGCCGGCTACGCACCTTGCCAAAAGCTTCTGTCTCGGCATGCTTCTCGAAGCTGAAAGCGGGGAAGTGCACCCCCGAGCGGAAAACCCGCGCCTTCGCCAGGATACTGACACCTCCTACGCCGTCAAGTTCCATCTCCATGTCCGGATCGCCGTACGGGTCGCGCAGGTAGGCAAGATGAGGACGCCAGGTAGCATATTCCGCATACCCTTCCACGATGACCGCATCCTCATCCAACGTGTCGGCCAGTGCCAATGCAGTTTCGGATTCTTGCCACGAATTCAGGTCGTACGGTTGCTCTCCGCCCAGCCAGTCGGGAAGGGGTCGCCACACATCTACCACCATGAGTCAGAATGAGCGGGACGCAGCCACAAAAGATCCAGAAACTCACTCGGCACAATGACATCCTTGTCATGCCGCATCAGATCCTCCAGAATTGTCTGCGGCGCGGTCAAGACGTCCGCGTCGCGCCAATAGACCCAACTATGCGTCGGTCGCAGCGTGGCGCTCAGCAGCCAGTTCCGAGCCTGGGCCATCAGCTTCCGGCGGCTGGCCTGCGCGGCAAAGCCGTGCCGACTCTCCACGTCCTGGTTGACCAGCTGGCCAAAGTCCTTCTGGATCACGGAGATTTCGCCGTACGGCATCTTCGGATCCGCATCGTGCTGGAGTTCGTCCAGCATGCGCGACAACATGCCCATCGTGTCATCCTCGGAATCCGACACCAGAAATGCCAGGTCGATCAGGTTGTGCGGGTAGGTGAGGTTCCGCAGGTGCGAGAAGAACATGGGCAGATGGGAGGAGGCATCGCGCAGGGGCGTGCACATGAGCACCCGCTCCCCGCGCTCCCAGCCACTGGCGGTCCCTTGCACTTTGGAGAGGTCATAGTATCGGATCGTCTCGATCTGAAGGTCTTCGTAGGGGTGGAGGAGGCCGAGCGACACCACCGGAAGGAGTGAGGCGCGAAGCGACGGGAAGATCAGGACGAGGAGCAACAGGGAGACACCGCAGAGAAGACATAGTCGCTGGAAGAGTTGCCTCCGGCGGCGCAAGGCAGGTTGTGCCCGGGGTTGAAAACTACTAAATTCCAGGATTAGCGAACGGTTTACTTAGTTTTCCGTCGACACGGCGCTGTATCCCACCGACGTGGTACAGGAGCATGGCGCGCGATATTCGCCCGAGGAAAGGACCGCGTACCGGTGAGGGGAGATGGAGAATGAATTGTTGCTCTTGCCACGGGGATAGGCAGCGTAGCCATTGCCGAAGGCGTGATGCCTGTTCATCTCTCCTAAGATGACATGCAGCAAGGAAATTGATTCGAGTTACAAACCAATTGTCGAGATTCTGATATTGGAGAAACCTCTTCCTCAGACTACCGAACGAAATCGCAGCCGACGGGGAGGATGAAGAGGTGGATTGAGGTTGAAATGAAGATCAGCGGGAATATCGCCAATCCGCGATCGGTGATGAAGAGAAAAGATGCGGAACGGAAGACAAGGGGCGCAAGGAACCGAACAGCCCCCGAGGCTTTGACCGTAGCAATGATTGCGTCGAGAGAACTTACGTAGGCTCCAGGCGGTTCCTTTGGACCAAAAGCCGCCAGGTGGGATCCGCGGGCGAATCTGGACCCAGACCCGAATGCGGTACGAGACCCAATCTTCTTCCCGCCGCCCGCCCGTTTGCAGCCATCTTCCTCCCGTAGCGCAGCTCCGACCATCACTACTGCACTTCCCACATTGCTCAAGCCGAAGAATGAACGGATGAACGATTGACTGACTCAGTTACTCTTCCTCATTGGACTAATTCTGCACGTATACAGATATAACCTCTATTTACAGAACATCCCTATCATATATAGGTTCCGCAAAGAAAAGAAAAGGGAGAAACTCCAAGATTGCAAACCGACAAGACGCCTCAAAGAATGCTCGGGATTTTTGAACTCCTTCCCCCCTTCAAACGACAAAACCAACATGAGGAATGCAAGATAAGAACGCCATGACCAAGATGAGAATCCAAAATGTCCGAATAGTCCCGATCAGTGAGCACTTAATCGGGACACCCTGGACTGGGGCGAGCCCATGCCCTTGACACCAATCTCGACCTGTCGCATCACCTTCTGCAGCAGCGCATCCATGCGCGGCAAGTCTCGCAACACGGGAATGACGGATCCGGCCTCATACTCGCTATCCAAGATATAATAGCGCTCTCTGCCCCAATTCTCCACCGTTTCCCGCTGGAATGCGACTTTCGCAATGACCTTGGCTGGAACACTAGCCTTGTTGATTGCACTCTTGGAGAAAACCCGCAAGAGGGGCCGGAGTCCAGACCGGGTCTGATGCGCCATTCGCACCGACAAAGGTGCCGAGGCGGTGAGATGGCTCTCCCCGGTCATAAATCCGGGGTCCATCGTATATACATTGAGCGAGATGTTGCCCGCCTACAATAATACAGTCAGCCCTGAACACCAAGCAAAAACAAAGGCACACTCACGAGTACCAGACTCCGGCGCAAGGCATACATAGCAGCGCTCATCAACAGCTTACTACTCCCGAACCGGGCGGTGGCTTCCTTTGCACTGATCGGGGTCCCCGGGGCCTGGCTGGCGTTATCCGGGTCCTGCTCATCGAAGTAGTCCAGTGACCCTTTGGACATGGCGGCGCATCCGATGTTGATAACTCGGGCACCGCCGTTTGGGGTTCCGTCGCCGGCTCGGAAGGCCTCGAGCAAGCTCACGGTCAACAAGAACGGGGCGATGCAGTTGGTTTGGTAGACGGGGTCGTACCCATCTCGTGTGACTTGATCGGTGACGTAGGACGAGCTGGCCGCGGAATTGATCAAGAGAGTGACCGGAGGGATCTCTTTACTGCGAACTCGCTCCACAGTATACTGTGCGAAGCTCGCCACCGAATTGAAGCAGGCCAGATCACACTTGACCACTTCGACGGACCTCGGCCCAATCAAGCGGATGCGGCTTAATACATCCTTCACGGTATCGGATCTGATATCCCGAGCCACCAACAGCAGGTGGACAAAGGGCTGTGCTTTGGCGATGGAGACGGCAACCTCTGATCCCAGCAGGCCACTGGCCCCGGTGATAATGGCCGTACCATGTAGTGGAGTTCCCATGGTAAGGACGAAACACAAGAATCGAGCAGGTGGTAGAAGGAGGTTACTGTAAGGGATACAGTACAGACAGATTGTGCAACGTTTAGAAAGGTCAGTCCGACATGCTTCAACCCGAAGTCGGCAAGTCTAGACAGAGAACAGTGAATGGCGACGCAAGATCTAAGGAGGTTAGAACGCGGTTATAAATCTATGCAAACGAGAAGGTCGGTCCGCTTCCAAGGGAGCCAGCCGACGACAAAGACCGACTAGTCAAGTAGTAACAGTAGTAGAAGATTTTAGGGGCTAAAGTGTGTAGAGGCCAGGCCGGGCGGCAGGCGAAAGGAAACGAAAGCCCGAGATGATGATGCCAATTCAGACAAATCAGAAGATAAGTGAAGGCAGAAAACGAGTGTAATATTTTTTTTCGGACAGGAAAAAACAACAATAAACAAAAAAAACGAAGAGAAGGATGAAAGGAGGCAGGACAAGAGGAAAAGAAGAAGAAGAATATTACCTGGAAGAACCACTAGAAGCCAGTCGATCGGGATTGCAAACCAAGGAAAAAAAAGGTGCTCCCAACCGAAAAACCGGCCTTGCGGCAAGGAAGGATGATGGATGATGTGCCAGACTGAACCCAAAGGACCTCCCTCCAAGACCCGAAGAGCCCCTAAAAAAATAGTGAGATCCCCCAAGAGTTCAGCGACACCAACCAGAGTGAAACACCGGAACTGTGAGTGGGTGGGGGGGTTTCGTTTGGTGGGATGGGAGGGGACGGTTCCACCTCGGAAGGGCCACACGCGATTCCCGATGGTGTATTAATAGATGGTAGAGACCTTGGTAGGACCTCTCTCTCTGCGTGGGTTTCTTTTAAGATGGGTCAATTCCCCGAGGTCAAGATGGAAGATGGGGTTGAAGAGGGATTCGAAGACTGAGAATTGATGGTGAATGTAGAAAAAGACATTGGTTGACCAGCCGGTTTCAAGGACGGACTGTCCATCATAAATAGTACTGATCGATCGATATTTGATAAGATGAGGACGGTCAGTAACTTGACCGGATGGATGTACGGTACATACTTCCATCCAGGGTACACACGAATATGCTTGTACAGAAGCCGCCTGGAAAGTCCCCAGTTCTATTCTAAGCATAGCGAACAGCGAAAAAGAAATACAGAAAAAAGAAAAGTTGAGCGTAGGTCACTCAGATCAGGTCCAGTCGGGTCAGATCAGGTCACGAATCAGGTCATATTGGGAGGGGAAAAGGGAGTCTTGCAGGCGAGACATACATACATCGGGCATGGCCATTTGGCTGCCCCCGTCCAGTTGAAGTGCACCCACGGACTGTAATAATCCTTCTATTGCTCCAGAGTGCCCCATGATAGTCCGTTTACTTTACCCCCTCCTTTCAAGGTTCCTGGTACACTGGGAGTCTGGGACCCATTCGATCCCTGCTTGAGTAGTGTCATGACTGGATGTATGGTTGGATATTGAACGTAAGGATGTAAGTTATCTTAGTCGAGCATGACTAGTGGGGATGTACTGTACGAAGTACAGAGTAGGAAGGAGGGTCAGAGCCCGGGGAGAAAACTCGAGAAAGAACGAATGCGACCCAATGATTCCGAATGGTTAAATTCCCCAAGTGACCTCTCTCGTTGTGTGTTTATTCTCCGATACTTTCGTTCATTCGTTTACCCCGGACTCGTTCGAGGTCGGATGACGACAATGTGTGAGTGAGCCCTCAAACCAACGCCATATCTCACACACTCCTCAAACAAAACAAACCAAAACAACCAACAGTCAATGACTCCCAGCCCGCAACAACCGCAAGCTTGGCCCAAATACAAAGAGGAGGGGGGCTGTGGATGACACCTCCTTAAGCGGGGGATGGAGTCACGATCCCCCCAAGTTCCATTGGTAAAGGTCCGTGAGAATTTAAGGGAAGAAACTTTGTTTTCTCTTCGCATTGATCCGGAGATCCGCAATCCCCATCAAGAAGAACAGAAAAAGAAAGAAAAGAGAAAAGAAAGACACTTAAAAAAAACAAACAAGAAACAAAGTGGCGTTCACCCGCCCCGTTCGGATAGCGTCGAATGTTGCGCGATCGAACGCATGTTCTTCTGCAGCCACCGGGGTAACCGTAGTACGGTACTAATATCGGTATACAGTCCTACCTGGTACTGTATGTACCTACAGCTCGCTCGGTGGGAGGAAGAAGCATGTCGTCAACGATGCTTTTTCTTCGTCATTTGCATTGCGACTATTGTCCTAAGAACCGCGTGATAGGGGTAGTCATCTGTTAAGGAGCATAGTGTGCTCACAGCCTCAAAGGACGCACAAGCTCGGTCGGAGAAGACATATCAGGTTCCGATATCCGAAAGGAGGAGGTAGGATGTACTGATGTACGGAGTACTGTATGTACATGACTACTGTACATGCACAGTACAGCCCTAGCCCTGGTAGCACTCGACCTTTAGTCCGAGCGGTCTGGCTGTCAGTGAACTGTTTAGTCTGACACTTCAAACGTCTAGATCATGGAAGATCCATAATTGTGGTCTGTCGGCTTCGCATCTAGACAACCCTGGACTGGAACATGACCACTCCGGAGCCCGAATCTCTGGGTTACTCTTTTGTATGGCTGTGCTGTACAATACTAACACTGTACCTAAGGCATCATCGGTTGGTGGGAACCACTCCTACTACAAAAGGAGTCTTAAGTTACGTGCTACGACATCATGACTTCGAGGTTGGTTATACGAGACAACGAGGAATAACCCCGCTCAGCTCTGCCCTTCTCGACGTGTATTTCTTGGCATCATCACACCTCATTCGCAGTCAGTAGTAGTTCCTGTGGAATGGACGGCCGTGCTGTCGTGGTTGCACTCATCAGCCCTCGCCAAGAACCAGAAAACGCCCGCCCCGTCGCTCGTATCCACACGTGTTGATTCCTAAGGTTAAGATGTCGTCGCTTTCAGAACCCAAATGAGGTTAAACAGTTTACACTACGCGAACTGAACTCAGGGCTTTATTCTGGTTTGCCGTCGGGCATCCCCGGGGGCTCAGGTAAGAACCAAAAAGAGGAAGCAGACCAACGACGTACTAGTAGGTATGTACTGTGTATGTATCTAGCCCAGGTCTATCATGGCCGAATTCTCTTGGCACTGCTGACAGGCTTCAGTTCTTACCTTCAGCTCCCAGTAGGCTGAGAGTGGCTGGCGTCAGAATACACACCAAGTGTGCCATCACACATGCCTTGGGCCGTCATGGATGGCTTCGGAAAAGGACTTGACAACACAAACGCTCATTTTGAGGCACAGCTGTGCGACCTTCACAGCCGCATCTGACCAGGGCGTCTTGTCTTACCTTAGACCCTTCCTCCTGGATTTCATGCCGAGATGTCAACTAAGATCTTGACATGTTTATCTTTCTCGTTGATCCGGGCCTCGAATCCTTTTTCAACAATGTCTTCCATTCGAATCTTGCTGGTGATCATGGTTTGAGGGTTGAGCTTGCCTAAGGAAGGACGAATCAACACTCAGCGAGGGTGAATGGGATGGCAGGGATAGCACGCCACTCAAGCTTACCCGAGCTTATGGCTTCAATGACAGCTGGAAAGATCCCATCGGCAAATATTGCCGCTCCGATTACATGCTTCTCGTCTAGCACGATCGCGCTGGCGTCTACGCTCGGTTTTGCTTCCCAAAGCGACACAATCGTGACTGTTCCTCGGACCCGGATGCCCCGAAGAGCCGTATCCAAGCCGGCTTGCACGCCAGAGCATTCAAAGGCCACATCTGCGCCCGCGTTTCCGGTCATTGCTTGTACCATGGAGACGACATCTTCTGTCCGAGGATCAAGGACATGTGTGGCGCCCAATTTTTTCGCAAATTCTCGTCGTCGCGAGGAGACTTCCGCGACGATGATAGACTCTACTCCTCGGGCTAAAAGCACTTGAACCACAGCCAAACCAATAGGACCGCCTCCCACGACAAGAACCGTCCGAGCACCCTCAAGAGGGCTGCGATTTGCGGCATGCCACGCCACAGACAGCGGTTCAACAAGCGCTTGTATAGATCGCGTCAGCAAACTGCACCCGACTAGCGACAAGTAATGGAATTTCCCCCTCACCGCCGATATCCAAAGGGATGTTGTCCGGTAGCGGAATGGCAAGTTCTGCGTCAACTACGACATGGTCCGACAACCCCCCTGCATCGCCTTGAAAGTTCTCAGCCTGATGACAGCCGAAACAAACATTGGGAAAAGACCGAACCTACTACTGTACCCCACAAAGCCCAAATTGCGACAACAGTTCGGGGTTCCGCGCAAACAGGGAGGACAACTCCCGTCGTTCAAGTTGGGCCGAACAGCAACCCGATCTCCAACTTTGAGGTTCGCGACGACACCAGCAACCCCGGTCCCTACCTCCTCGACTGTGCCGCTAAACTCGTGGCCCAGGGTTGTTGGTAGCTGTCTCCCGGTGATCGCATGTGGCGTCAGGGGTACCAGGTGCGGCCCGCACGTGTACTCATGCAAATCTAAATGATGAAATCACACACAAGACCTGTGTCAACGACGATCACTCCAATTTGCCGTTGGCTGTGCCAAGTGTGCTCTTGTAAGTAGTAGGATTTGACTACTCACCACTTCCGCAGATCCCTACAAACGCAGGTCGGATCTCAATAAACAGGTCAGGCCCGTGGCATCCAAAGAAGGCATAGATGAGGAATAGCGGTGTACATACCTTGACCTGTCCCTCTCCACAAACCGGCTCTTCGATCTGGTCGACTCGGATGTCTCCAGCTCCGTAGAAGCGGACTGCTCTCATGGTGAAGGACAGTATATTTCAGGGTTTGAAGGTAGAGAGGTCTGCTGCTTATGCTCAAAAGATCAACTCTGCAGTGCGTAAGGAATTCTGGACTCAAAAAAAAAAAAAAAAAAAAAAGGTAACGAACAGGACTATTCATTCCCTATGCATATATATGGCCCTGTATTCTGCTTTGGAGGGGAGTTGCAAAATGCGGGGTAAGGGAGGAGAAAAGAGGAGTCAAAGGAGGAGAAGAGGTCAGTCACTCGGGACTGGAACCAAGCTCTTGCTGATGCATTGATAAGGTAAGAAGAGGAGGAAGTAGAAGAGGGGGAAGGAGTAGCAGTACGACCTTGAGATGGGCGGGTGATCAGTCAATCCCGTTAACATAACTTATGTACGGTACGGAGTACCTATAAGAAATGCGAAGTATAGTGTTTGTGCATGTTACACAAAGTACACAGAGCCGTCGCCCCAATGCACCAGCCGTTTATTTGCTATGCAAGGGAAGACCCAGAACAAGGGGACATTGCAGTTCGATAATGGAAGGAAAAAAAGGGATACCTCGTTAAAGTCGTCATGATGCTACCAAAAGTACTTCGTACTGTTTACGTCGAATGTATAGAACATCGTTCTTGCAGGGTCATGCAAATTTCTTCGGAAGATATGATGAAATGAAATAACATTTTTTCTTTCGGGTTCGAAAAGGGGACTCGCTAAGTTCTTTCCCTCTCTTTGGGCGCGGGGGGAGGGACACAAGGTATACGTTATAGAAAATATTCTTTCACTTCTTTCCTTCGCAAAATGGACTGGACTGGACATATCGTGAACGTTTGGGATAACGGCATTTACCGAACGGTGGCACCCTTCAAGCTCTTGACGGTGCAGATGCCGCCGGAGGCGGTCTTCAGCAGGCCGAGGGCGGGCTTGCCCTCCTGGCCGTGGACGGCGGGGACGGCGGCGCTCTCGAAGGCGACCTCGAGGGTGTCGGTGGTGGTGAAGCCGGGCTGGAAGGTCTCCCAGACCTTCTTCTTGGGGTTGAGGACCTTCTCGGGCTCGCCCTCGGACCAGCCCTCAAAGGTGATGCGTTCACCGGCGGGGGCGTCGGCGGGCGGGGCGACGAGCTCGACGGGGCCGGCGTGGGAGTCCTCGCCCTCGGCGACACGGGGGGAGGCGGCCAGCACCATGGCGACGGACTTGATGCCGCGCATGGTCACGGGCTTGAGGTTGCAGACGGCGACGATCTTGCGGTTCTGCATCTCCTCCAGCGGGATCAGCCCGTTCAGCCCGGAGCACACCGTGCGCACCGTCTTGCCCGTCGCCTCGTCCAGGGAGGTGTTCTCGGTGCCCGGCGCGTCACCGCAGTCGATCGTCGACACGAACAGCGAGTCCGCGTTCGGGTGGTTGATCGCCCGCAGGATGTGGCCGACCCGCAGGTCGATGATGGACGGGGACGGGGGCGCGGCGGGCGCGGGCGCCGCCTTGGGCTGCTTGAGCTGCTTCTCCTTCTTCTCCTTCTTAGGCTTGCCGCCTTCGGGTTTGGCAGCAGCGGCGGCGGCGGCGGCGGCGGGAGTTTCGGTAGCAGCAGCAGCAGCAGCAGCGGGAGCCGAGTCGGCCTTCTGCTTCTTCTCGGCGGCAGGCTTACCCTGGCCGACGACGAGGGGCTTGCCCTCCGCGGCGCCGCCGGCGGCAGCGGCCGCGGCGGCGGCCTTCTCCTTCTTCTTGCGCTCCTTCTCGGCCTTAGGGTCGACGGGCTTGGGCACGAAGCGCACGTCGGTCACATCGATGGCGACCTTCTCCTCCTCGGGGATCTGCAGGGCGAACAGCGGGCTGTTCTGGACGAAGTCGACGTGGCGGACGATGTGGTGGTAGCCCTGCTCGCCGGTGCGTTCCTCGGGGGACCACTTCTCGACGAGCGGGGCGAGCAGAGCGTAGACGGCAATGTCGGCGACGGAGGGCTTAGCGCCCAGCAGCGTGGTGCGGGTGGCCAGGTGGGTGTTCAGCTGGCCCAAGATGTTGGCGACCACCGTCTGGTCGTCCTTGCCCTGGGCATGCTGCAGGCCCGAGATCGTGGCCAGCCATTGCTTGACGTCGGCCTCCTCGGTGACGGAAAACTTGGTGTGCGGGAAGATTTTCGGGGTCGCGGTCTGGAGGTCGGGCTCGGTGGCGTCCGGGGAGATGGCGGCCGGGTAGGACCGGTAGAGGAGGGAGAGGAGGGAGGATTCGGGCGCGGAGTTGATGGCCATGTTTGCGAAGGAGCGGATGGCGAGAGGGTGGTGGGAAGAAAAGAGAGGTGAAGAGGGTGTTGGAGAAAGTGGAAGAGGAGGAGACAGAGGAGGAGGGGCAGCGAATAATCTTGCCGTCGCCCAAGGAAGAGGAGCGAACCGCGGGGTTGTTCTGGCGACCCGCAGGAGGCTCACGGCCGCTTTGATGGAAGTCAACTTGCTTCACGAGAGCGATCCCAGTCTGAGGACGGGGATCGTAGGAAGTGGGGATTGGAATTGTTATGAGAGATTCAGCTGTGCTGTCAATTCTGCTGTGCGCGGGTAGAATCTCCTTTTTCTTTCCCCTTGTTCTTTGCAATCACAATTTTATGCATTTTGTTCACACACACACAGGATTAGTCATCATATACATCTACGATTTGTGCATCGACCTCAGCTCGTTCAACTTTAGACACGGGTCTAATGGTACAATTCCATTTTCTACAGCATGCTATTGCAGCTCTAAATCTTCACAGTATTAAGTAGATTGGATGAACAGGCGTTATGCTCATCGGAGGACAATCACACGGGCGAGGCGACACCCAGAGAAGGACCACGCATATCGAAGACAACATAGAAGGCCTTCAAGAAGACGTCACCCAAAATCTGGAGCGACGCGCCCGAGTTTGATTGAATACCACCATAGCAAACTAAGAAGAGTCGTTAATCGAGTATTACTTGGTTATGTCTTTAGGTAGAAAGTACTCACGAGCTTGTCCAGTAGTGGTGTTGGTGCCAACCTTCGAGAACTGAATCAGGTTTCCAGGAACCGTGGCCAAGTGCTCCGAACCGATGGCAATTGAGAAGCTGGGAAGAGTGGTGTTACAAGGAAAAATGTAACCTCCAGCACTGCTCACATACACGGCGCTGGGCACGTCGGCGTAGTAAGCATCCACAACTTGCTGGTCCATCAACATAAGAGAAGTGCCGGTATCAGCAATCGCCGTCTGCGTGTTGTTGATCGTCTGGATGGAGCCATTGCCCACTGCAAACTCGGCGGTATCAAACTGCCAGTATCCGTTGGAGCTATCCACGCTGACGTTGGCCATGGTGCCCTGGTATTTGCTCGAATCAATCAGACCGAAGCCATACTCGCCAACGCCATCACTCTTGATGGCAGAAGTAAAGACAGGCTCGTCGAGATTAGGCGCAGCATTGGCGAAGAAGGTGTTCTGCGCTTGGGGTTCGATGCTGTTGATGGACGAGAATCCCAGACCAACCAGGCCGTTCGAGTTTGTGTCTTCGATGAAGGACTGGGAGACCTCAGTCGGGATCCCGATGGCTTGGTTCTTGACGATTGCGCCGCCGATGTTGACTGTGTCAGTTCCGACAGGACCAGCGGCGAACGAGTTATCACCGTAGGAGACATTGAAAGTTGCGCCGGGCATATCCTTGAACGTGGTCGAGTTGGCGGGGTTGTACTGGGTATGACCATCAAGGGTCTTGTTGAGACGAGTGTCCAGGACCCAGCTATTACCGAACTCTTGTCAGTATCCCAATCAATTCATTTCTGTACCTGGTGCTTCTTACAAGTCCGCTGAGCCTGTGTCGAAGGTCACGACGATCTTCTGGCCACCAATTTCAACAGGCGAAACAAATTCGGCATCGCTTTCGACAGAGGTTGCGCTGACGGCACCGACCTGGTCTGGCTCGGCACTGTTATCGCTAGCAGCGACGACGTTGTGCTTGACAGTGGTGACGGGGGCGAAGTCCTCCAGCTCGATGTTGAGGTTGCTGGGAACAATGCCAAACTTGCGATACGCCTTTCGCAGCGCCGAGGGACCATACAACTCGCCCTCTCCACGACGAACCCGACTGACCTTGTAAGATCTTCCCTTATGCTGAGTGCGACCCGAAGTCGGCAAAGAAACAACGCTGTAACTAAAGAACAAAAACAAGAAGAGAGAGTGGAGGAGCTGCATGATTGTAGCTCAGTTGGAATATGTGGATTAGTCTGTTAAAGAGTGAACATCCAAGTCAAGGAGGGTCTAGAGACGAAACACAACACAAAAACAAAGAGCGCAATGATTAGTAGTCTTTTGAATGAAAGTGAGACTCCTTTCCTGAAGGAACAGTGCGCAGTTTATAGGGGAGGGTAAAGTATGGGGGCCGAGTCCTGACTGAGCCAACAACAACAAGAATCACCACAATATGGACAAGAAGGATGGAAGAGGAGTGTAAGCACCAGTGATCCTCTACCAATTGACGAGAGAAGTCAAAAGTAAGAATTGAAGAATGAAAAAGAAGAAGGGCTATCTTTCCACCACGAAAGGAAAAGATAGCAGAAGAGAAGTGAATGAACGAGCTACAATTGTCAATTGCAGCAGGAAGAGAACGAAACACACGCAGTCTATAAAAGTAGGACAAAAAGAGGTGCAAACCAGAACGAAGAAAGTCGAGGATTTGAATATCACTCGAGAAAATCTCCAAGCCCTACTATCTACGCCCAGAAAAGTCCAAGAACCCAAGAGTCGAGAACTGACGCATGGTGCTTAGGAAATGGGGTTCACTGGAGCGTGGCATTGTTCCAACTAAATGTGAGGTAGGCTGGTCTTAACCCAATATTGCAAGAGTTGGACGACGAATCCACCGAGGAAGAGCCAAATATGGGCCAATCCGAGAGGGTTGCCCCCTGTTAGCAAAAGAATATCAACGCAACAGCGCATCAGCGCATCCATGGGTGCCAAAAGCCGAGAAAGACTGATCAGCTTGACAGGCGCCTGGGAGGGGGCACTGGCGAATAGTCAGCTCATGGCCAGGACATTTCCGCCACTTCCTCCAGGCACCGGTGCACTGAAACCGCCAGCCGCTCGACTCCCGAGTTGGGGCCCAATCAGCTGTGGCCAATCCTGAAACAATCTTACCCCTCTTTGAACTTTGAAGCAGGCCCAGCGATTGAAGTGTTACAGATTTCTGAAGGCTCGACACACCAAGCTACTTTCTCTCTAGTAAATAGTCGACTAGTTGTAATGACCTTCTGTCGAATTGTCAATGGCACGGTCCAGCCGGCAGATGATGGGTTCTGCACAAACTTGGATACTATAGCTAGTGCTGCTATCTGTTTTGCTATTGTTAATATATCGGTGGACTCCGGCCTAGACTCGAGAGAAGGGCAAGTTTTCGTCGACCGGTCTATCCGACCTCAGGCCGCGTAGACAGACGCCTCCCGCGATCGCAAGTAGCCTAGCCCATCATTCATCATGGATGACCGAGGCAGTCCCAAAATTTGGCCCGGAAAAGGGAAGAAAAGCAGAGAAAAGGGTAAAGAAAATAGGCTCGCAACTCAGGAGACACCACCGGAAATACGGTGAGCTTGGCTAAATACCACCGGGCGTTTAGCAACGACATCGCGGTCGTTGGTCGGGCACTAGATTACACAATCTTTCGGCAAAGATTCGGCAGAGTCGAGATCCTCAGCAAGGGTCTCTCCGGATTGCCCGAGTTATGAAGGCTATTTTAAGGACGTTATTCCATGTGTCGACCTCGGGCAGTTGGTGGAGCGGGTCCGATTTGCTTCATAATTTCCAAGTCTCAAACAGAGCCAAGCGAGGCCAAGTCAACGGCGAAATTCGAGGGGTCAAAAGTGGTCAACTAAGTGTCAGTTCCAATATGTCAAAGGGGCTTGGGGCAGAGAAGGGACTTGACGGACATTTTAAATCCTCAATTGTTTTGACATGATCAACATTATTCAGACCCCAAAGTTGACTGGGGGGGCGAAGTGAGCACTAAAGAGGATGATGGCTCGTGTGAGCATTGCATCCTTGAAGCTCATTTAGACTAATTCTACTTCGACCGTTCTGCCCCCGAGCTATAGATCGCCCCCCAAATCCCCAAGGCGAACTCCTGGAGAGCATAAAATTAGGAGGAGTCATACTTTGTTCGTAAACAAGTGATCAAGGTGCCTTCGAAATAATCTGGTATCAAGAATAACTGCATCTATGCCCAAACGCCCAAGAATGATATCAAATCATGTGAATCCCCTTACATGCTGTCCCAAATGCACCGCGCTGATAGACATGAAAGAAAAGAGACAGTACTTTTATTCGACCGTGTCCTCCGGCAGGACATCGTCCGGCTCCTCCCCAATAAACTGCGCGACCGAACGCACAACCTGCTTGATTGCCTTTGAAGCTGGGCTGTCCGGGAAATTATCCACAAAGCTCTCGCCGTAGTCGCACGCCATGCCTACTCGAGGGTCGAGCGGTACAGCGCCCAGGAAAGGGATACCCATCTTCTTGGCAAGACGTTTTCCGCCCCCAGTGGTAGCTCGGAAGATTTGCGATTTTGTGTTGCAATTTCCACAAACGAAGCCCGACATGTTCTCGACCAACCCCAGAATGCGAATTCCAGCCTTGCGACAGAAGTCGATTTCCTTCCGCACGTCCAACAAAGAGACCTCCTGGGGGGTAGTGACCACCACCGCACCGTCGACACCAGAGTCTTTCAACAGCGAGTTGACGGACAAGTGCTCATCTGATGTTCCGGGAGGCGTATCGATGATCAAGTAGTCCATCTCTCCCCAGTCTACATCTTTCAAGAACTGCTTGATGAGTCCATTCTTCTTAGGCCCTCTCCAGATTACCGCATCGTCCCGGTTGGGCAGCATGAACTGTACACTCATCGCGGCCAGATTATCCGTGACCCACACGGGGCTCCAGCCTGCGTTGCTCACATGGATGGTCTCCGCCTCGACGCCCATCATTTTGGGGATGGACGGCCCGCAAATGTCTGTGTCCATGATGCCCACAGTCGAATCGGGGTTCGCAGCAAACGCGTGAGCGAGTAGGGAGGTAAATGTTGATTTACCCACGCCACCTTTACCGGACAATACGAGAATCTTATGCCGTATTTGCGATAGCCGTTCGGTGATAATGGGAATGTCGGGATCGGGGCCCTTGGGAGCGGAGGCGCAGATCTGTTGATTCGGACAGCCAGCACAAGCATCGCCTTGACCAGCTTGTTCGGATTCAGGACCAGGGCAGTGCTCTACGAGCAGAGGAATAATCAGTGTCATGTACGTTGCACTCGGCGCAAAACAGAAACCAACCTGGCTCGGGAGCGACAAGATTCGGTGCCATCTTGGAAGGCGCTTCGAAGTAAGCCGTTGTCGGCTCCTCGAGAGAAGGTGCCATTCTGATGGTTGTTCTCCAATTATCCTCTTCTTCTTTATTTGAATAATGAAAAGTGATCAGGAAGAATCAAACAGGGTATTGATTGACAGCAAGAAGTGTTGCTGAAGGAAAAGTGGCGGGGATCGATGACTGCGGGAAGTTGCTTGATAATCAGTACTTATCGGAGGGATGACAAACCTTCCCGTGGCGATTGGTGCGGGGCTGCTGCCGCCTTCAGATCTCAGCGGTGTCGGACTGGATGCAGTGATAAGATTGATACGAGAAGGCACATCTAACGTTCTTGTATGAGTCTATCTGTGCATAAATCAATATGTACGCATCTCTTCAGTGGTATAAATTGGTGGTAGGTCATGTCCTATGATTCAAGACGTGGTTGGGATAAATCTTCGCTGGCTGCAGCATGGAGCCATGACTACTCCGTACGGTGTCACACAAATCTTTTAGGAGGTCAGGTCATCGCCGTCCTAGAATGCAGGTTTGAATCTACTTATGAGTATTGCTAGTGGGCTTGTTGCTTCGACAAATCGTTTCAAGCCTGCCATTTGATTTTGCGAAGATCAAAATCCATGAAGGATTGCATGTTTGCTCTATCGAGCTAGCCTCCTACATGTAATCCAAATAGGCCCAGTTCCTGAGATCCCTAGGATCAGATGAGGGGCATGTCGACTGGGGTATCGACCAGGAATGCCATGTCAGAACCCTAACCCTCTCACAGGGGCCAAGAGGCCATTATGCTATCACAATTCTTGGGTACAAGCCTGGCGACTCCATAGTGTATGGACTTAATTTAAAACAAATGCGTCTAGCCTATGAATCACAAGAGATTCCAGGCATAGCTCGTCTCCATCGATTCTCATCTCAGCGTGAGAGTGCTCAGGTCCCTATCAAAAGTAAAGAAATCCTGTAAAGCTTGCATAACTAGGTACATTAGGTAAAACATAGCTTCTGCAGCTTCATCTCTCACGGTGACACTAGAGCCTTTATCGAGGCTTAGCGAGAGGAGAAGTGTCCATTCAAGCACAGAGGATGAGAGCACCGCAGTTACCGCCCACAAGAATTAATATATTAGTCTTTGTGATGCCGGTTAATGCAATGCCACTATTCAGGGAGGTCAATGACTGGACCCTTCTGTTATGCATCCGATTCCAGGCTTTCTTCCTCATTCCGACCCGTGCTGTCTGAATCCCGTCCAGACCCTGATGAGGGTCATGATTGGTGTTAGACTAACAATTCCAGCCTATCCGTCCCATTGATGCTTCCCTTTCCCCAGTGCATTGGGATCCACCTCAAGCCATAACCGAAGACAGGCCATGGGGGAATCGGGGAAGGAGGCATGGCTAGTGACCCTAGGTGCTTTGTCTCACTCCCAACAATTTTTTGGCGTTGTGATTCTAGATTAACCATAAATAGGCAGAACTGGCCTTTGTTCCACCTACTTTTTCTTTTCTTCTAACTTCCTTCCCTGACAATCACTGCAGTTTTCAGAAATTAGCATTCGAAATTGCTGGAAGTGGCTGGTTGCTGGCTCGGATGAGGTCAGACCAATCATTGCCTTCCCGCCAGTTGATTTTCCCCCACTGTCACGGCCACTGTCACATGCTTCTGGTTCTTCTGTTCTTCCTCCTTCCATTCATTCTCTTGTCTTTCCCACTGCATCTGCCGGGTACAACTCAACAATTTTCCTAAACTCATTTCAACAATGGATCGTGGCCTCTCAACAGGCTCTAACCTGGGTGAGACTGGGCTTCGCGAGAGGATTACAATGGCCTCTCAGCCCGACTCAATTGCAAACGCCGAGGCTCTCACTGCTACTGGCGAGGTCGAGGTTAAGGATGATGCACAGAAGGACAAGAAGACCTTCGGCCGCACCCCTGGTGGTACAGGTTCGTGGCACTTAGCCCCCAGTCTAGCTTGAAATCTCTTGATTATCTGCATCCCACTAGCAGAGGACTGACCTCATTTGACAATGTAACAGTATTCACGGTGCCTCAAACACATGACATGGTCTCTCAACTCCTGTCTCCATCTGAGCCTAAAAACCTTTCCGATATTATTGTTCTGATTATTTTGGGTGCCCATATTCTCTTATTATGGCAACTCCCCCAAGGTGCAAAAGTCCCAGTGTTTGCTGCCGTCTATCTCTTTTGGCGGGCGGCATACAACATTGGGATTGGATGGCTTCTGCACAATCAATCTCACCACAACACCCTTGTTCGCTGGGCGGAGCAGACCAAGATCTTTGTGAACCCATCCACAAACCAGAACCCCCATCCTAACCTGTATAAACTAATCAAGCGCGAACTGGAGACCAAGGTCCCTGTCGATTATTCCTTTGATGAGGCTCCACTTGAGTACAACACTTGGCTCGTCTTTCGTCGCCTCGTCGATCTTATTCTCATGTGTGACTTCACATCATACTGTCTGTTTGCCATAGCATGTAGCCATCACCCCGTTGATGAGGGCGTGCTGATGACTATTGTGCGCTGGTCGTCTGGTGTTGCTTTGGTGCTGTTCAACCTGTGGGTTAAACTCGATGCTCATCGCGTGGTGAAAGACTTTGCATGGTATTGGGGAGACTTTTTCTTTCTCATTGACCAAGAGTTGACGTTCGACGGTGTCTTCGAGATGGCTCCCCATCCGATGTACTCGGTCGGCTACGCCGGATACTACGGCATCTCGCTGATGGCAGCAAGCTACAAAGTGCTGTTCATTTCCATTCTCGCCCATGCAGCACAATTTGCGTTCTTGGTTTTCGTCGAGAACCCGCATATCGACAAGACGTACAATCCTCCTCCTCCGCGCAAGCGTGTGACGGAGCAAGATTCTGTATCCACATCTTCTCAGGCCAGCGAGCCTCCTTCGTCACCGGTTGATGAACAACTGCCCCACGCGACAAACCACCCAACAAGCAACCCTCCTCCATCGGTCCACAATTTACTAGGGTTCCACAACCTGGACCTGCATCGGATAACAGATAGTTCTTCTTTGCTGGTCCAGTTCCTCGTATTCGCCCTGACTGTCTTGACGCCATCTACACCTCGCTATCAATTCATTTTCGTGGCCAATGCAGCAATCTGGAGACTATGGTTTTCCATCGGTATCGGATACCTCCTCATTCGTCAATCAAACTGTAAATCGTGGACTCGGCACTTTGTCAAGTATGGCGAGACCCCTCATGAAGCCTGGAATCAGTGGAAGGGCACGTACCATTTGAGTATGATCATGTGCTACGCGAGCTTCATTGCTGCTGCTTGGAAGATGTACACATTTCCTGCTGACTGGGGCTATGGCCTCGTCTTGCTCCGGCATGTTCTGGGGGTAGGGCTTATCTGCCTGCAGACATGGACATCGGTCAGCATCTACGAATCTCTGGGCGAGTTCGGCTGGTTCTACGGTGATTTCTTCTTCCAAGGATCTCACAAATTGACGTACAATGGTATCTATCGCTTCCTGAACAATCCCGAACGTGTTCTGGGTTTGGCAGGGGTCTGGGGTGCTGTTCTGATCACAAGTAGCGGAGCAGTCATCTTCCTCGCGTTAATAAGTCACGTTCTAAGCATGGCTTTCATCCAGTTTGTGGAGCGTCCGCATATGCAGAAGCTCTATGGCCAGGGCTTGCGACAAGATGCGGGGCTTGTTAAGAGCCTCAAACGATCCCTGCCCCCTTCGCTCCGCCAACTGCATGGTAGCGTTGATAAGATCGTGGACGAATCATTTGAGTTCATTGAAGAGCTAATCGATACGGCGCGCCCTAAGCTTGCCGCCGGTGTCAACACGTTTGTGCAGGACACAACTGCCCTGTTCCAGACATATCCTGCTCGTGTTACCATCTCTCGCATTGATGAAGATCTTGCTGGTTATGACTCGCGGGACTACTCCTTGGTGATTGAGGGCATTGAATCTTCTTCAGTCGACAAGATTGATCTGTGTAACGGCAGAGAAGATTCAAGACATTCAGTTTTTGAGTATGGTGCACCGATCAAGGTCCGGTGGACGGCACCTTTAAACCACAGCAAGAAAGATTGGATTGGTCTTTACCGCGTCACTGACAATATCTCAAGAGAGATCACGCGGGTTTCTTCTCAAGGCAGATGGATCGCTACAAATGCCGGCGTCTACGATAACCAAACCTGTGAAAAAGGCATCGTGACGAGTGATGTGAAAGTATCGGCCTCTCAGCGCCCAGATGGAGAGACAGACGATATCTTGACTGGGGAAGTCGTTTTTACCGGCGACAAGCTCTTCTGGACTCAGGGAGCCTTTGAGTTCCGCTATCACCATAACGGCAAGCACAATGTCATGGCGATCTCGCGTCCTTTCGAGATTCGTACCGCACGGTTCGACGAGGAGGAATTCGTGGAGAGTAGTCAGGACGATCTCCAGGTATCCGTTGAGCTGAAGCTATTGCCTGTGATCCGCAACTGCTTGGACCAGGATCCCGAAATTGCACCCGAAACAGTGGAAGAACAATTTGGCAGCCAAGTGGAACGAAACGGCAAGTATGCCAAAAGAGTTGTATTCGCTGTGCACCAAATGTGAGCACCTCACCGGTATTCTTCATTGTTGCCACACTAACACTGCTCTTCTAGGTTCGGGGTGGAATTTGCGCCCGAGGTCGTTCGAGCTGATGGGACTGTCCGCAACCTTGCGTGGAGGATCTGCAATGCAAAGCGAGTGTTGGTAAGTATTTCTACCGAGTCACAGCCTATTGGAGATCAGAGGAGAGAGCCTGACATGCGATCGAATGCAGGCTCCCTACAGCATGACGAGCAACGGCACCTCCACTCCTAGTGAAAGACTAGAGAAGGCAGAGATCGTGGCATGATTTCATCTCAACGCACAGTAGCTCATATACATCTTCGAATCAACCTGCCGGGGGTCTGCTGAACGACAATGGTCGATTATTGCAATTGGACATGTCAACTCACACCCCCTCCATAGTCCGTTTAAAAACAATACACGAAAACTGAATAAGGGCAGGCAAGTACGCACTGTCAAACTAACCTCGAGAAGCTTACAGTCCGTCATGGTCGAAGCGAGTTTTTTCTGCAAGATGACGCTTATCCTCGGCCGACTAGTTCTACATGTACATATGCTTTTAAGCTATACACATACGTATTATGGAATGATGTTTCTCCAAAACTCTTCTTTTCATTTAGATATTACAGAAGGACGAGGCCAAGAGAAGAAAGGGCACGAAGGGCAGAAGGATGAAGGGGGAAGATCGTCGAATGTCCATCAGGCATTGGTGAAATTTTGTCTCATGGCCGTGAAGGCTCTGAAGTAGCAAATACGTAGATATGCAAACATCTTCTGAACGACGACGATCGAGTGAGTGGTGGCAAGGAGGGGAAGGAAGCAAGACCCGTCAATGAAATTGACAGCAAAGCAAAGCATCTGACCGAAATGGTGAAGACGGGGAGCAAATCATGCAGAGAAATCAACAGAGGCTGGTCATATCCCATGCTATCTACGCCTAGCACTATCCGACACACACCACAAGAGTATCGAGCCTTGCTTTAAGAATCGATCTGTAACCAGATATTGTCAGCACAACCGCTCTAAATATCCAGCAGATGATGTCTACATCACAAAAGAACGAAGTAGAATAGTAATCAGCCAAGCCGGGTAAATTCATCCCTTCCCCTGCCAACCCCGACCCCCCAACTCGCCGTCCAAAACGAACTTCGAGCCAGAAGGAAGGCATTGACACAAGTCAAGCGTAGCGAAATCGAACCCACGAAGGATCCCACAAGCCCACAGGGGGTGAAATGTGCCAAGTAAAAAACAAATGACGGGACTCCACTCTCTCGAGTGCTCCACAACCTTCCTCCCTGATGAAGGGAAAAATCCGAAGATCGATGCCCCCAAGAGGTCCAGTATAAGGGAGATGAGAAGAAGTGGCATCAGTTTGTCCACCTGTGATGCACATTTGCTCGATGCAGGGTGTTGTGAGAGTTATCAGGGAGAGATCTCGCGCGGCTCGAGGGGCGGTTCTCCACGAGGGGAGATCATTGAATGGATTGACTTGTTGTCATCATAGACATGGTGTTGTGGGTTGTGTGCATGGATATGAAAGGGATGATTGGTCTTACCTTCTATAGGTGGTATGGTAATGCGGTGTCTGGTGTTATTGCTACAGTCCCTAGAAAGTCTTTGCAGCTGTTAGCATGCTGGCTTCGTCTTCGATGAGTGAAGCAATGTTTGGGATGATGATTGGTATCAGGAGTTTTTGGTAAGGTATTTGGTTATCTTCAAAAATTTTGCAGAAGCAGAACTGAAAATAAATTTTTCTCATCATGAAAAGGCAGACCGAGCTGTGGACTCGATGTGCGAGGGCAGGGAGAGATTGAGGTGGGAAGGCTGATATACCAATTCATCTACAACGGCGCTGGGTATTCCACACTCCTCATGTCATGACTGAGTTTGTGTGATCCTATCTTTGGTGAACATTAGCAAATCGTCCACTGTAGTACGATGACTGAGAATGAAGCAAGAGTTGAAATTGAGGTCAGATGGTGATGCATGTTTGTTCGAGGCCCATGTTTAGGTCGCCAGAACTTCGATTTTTTGGATCGCTTTCATCATGCAAGAGATGCTTGATTGGATTGTGGAAGAATATATACTCACAGTTTACAGGTCAGTTTCCAGCATCGTGTTCGAAAGACGACGCATCAAGCTTTGCTTCGCATTTGAAGAGCTTGAGCTGTCAAATTCACAACACTCATTGTGTTGTGGGGGAGAGAGAAGGAAGAGAAGGGAAAAGAAAGCGCGAAGCGAAAAGCCGAAGAAAAACCCACGAGGGGGAAAAAAAAGGCGCCGAGCTTCCGCGATCCCACCCATGCAAACCATGCAAACCCTTCTCAAAAATGGATGTAGCTTTGCGGGCAGTTCGACCGCCAGCTATCGGATCGCTTTATCAACTCCCCCAATTATTATCTGCCCCTTCCTCCGCTGCTTTTCCTCCGATCACTTGTTGGAATTGATCGCAGGGATGCAAAGACATGTGTAATGACTGACAGACGAAGAATTAATGGGCCGCCTAGCGGCACGAGGCCTGCGGTTTTCGCCTCCTCTCTCAAATCCGCCTCCGGCGCTGCCACAGAAAGACCTCGCCGTCATAGACAACCAAATGAGTTGCGCAAGATCTGTAAGAGCTTCCTTTCTTCTCACAGGCCCGTGAACAGGGAACTAACCTGTCATCTAGTCCTTAAGACGGGATTGATCCCTTCGGCTTCCGGCTCCGCATACCTCGAATATGAACCATCTGCCTCACTCGCTGCAGCTCGGTCCTCCCCTCAGTCCCTGATCCCTCCTTCCTCGGCCTTGAAGCTCGCGTGCACTGTTCATGGACCGAAGCCTCTTCCCCGGTCGGCGACCTTCTCGCCAAATCTCGTTCTTACTACCCACGTCAAATATGCGCCATTCGCCGCCCGCCAACGGAAGGGCCACATTCGGGATGCCAGCGAACGTGACCTGGGCGTTCACCTCGAGACTGCGCTCCGAGGCGTGATTGTCGCGGAACGGTGGCCGAAGAGTGGCCTGGATATTACGATTACAATCCTCGAGGCCGAAGATGACCGGTGGTGGGGGGATGCACCCGACTCGCACGACGCTCCGTGGGGCATGATGAATGTCCTGGCCGGGTGTATCACCGCGGCATCCGCAGCCATTGCGGACGCCCGAATCGACTGCCTGGATCTCGTGGCTGGAGGCGTGGCTGCTATCGTCTCGGACGACGAGGCTGCCGAAGAAGGGAACTCGTCGACGCCTAAGTTGATGCTGGATACGGATCCGGCCGAGCACAAGTCCATCCTGTCGGCGTGTGTGGTCGCTTACATGCCTGCGCGGGACGAGATCACTGAGATCTGGCTCAAGGGCGATCACTCCAAGGCTTCCTTGGGGGTGGATGACAGCAGTTTGGGCCATGAAGCTTTGATTGACGGTGCGGTCAACGCAGCGCGCGGCGCTCATACGGTGCTTGTGGAAGCAGTCAGGGAGTCGGCTGAGCGATACGCCGGATTGTCGACCAGTGACTCATGATGAAGAGCCAGGAGCGTTAATGAAATATAAGAAAAAGTAATGCCTTGCTATCTGCCCTTGATACAATATATCCTTCCTAGTTTTCCCTTTTAGCATGAAATGCATACGCTTTCAGTCGCTGTTTGCTTCCATTGGGTATCAGCAGAAATATTTCATAGTGTAGACCAAATGCATCTTGCCGTTCGTTAGATGCCTGGGCCAACAATATCACTTCCTCTCGATTCACAGCCTACTACCTCAACATAAACACAACACAACACACAGCAAATTTATTTTGAGAAGCCCACACCTTCCTCCACCTTCACACACCCTTCTCTTAATAGCCTTCATGTCCATCAACCTGAACGCGTCCGTCCTCTCCCACTAAACAACTACTTCTCTGCTCCAGCATCTCAGCAACCAACCGCACCTCTCTCCACCTCGAACCCACCTACACATAGCTTCTTTACTCTTATCCACTCCCCAGACCAGATCATACACCGCATCCTCTTCAAAAGACCCCGTCAGACAAGACTATGCCCGATCTTAAACGCACCCACGAGGCCGACGTCCTCCTCCTCTACGTGATACTCTTGAACGCAGACTCTGAGACCGTGAGTATTATCCTCACCTCACTCCCCATCAACCAACATATTTCAACCTACTATCTTTCTTCTGCCAACGCGTTTCTCTATCCAAGCTACGGCGCAGTAGGAAGTACACCATCAAGCGACCAACCTCACATTCCCTCATCCTTTCTGAGTTCCTCACTTTTCCCCTCTCACAACAACTCCAAGCCTATTTCTTACGGAATGCTAACAAGTACTCTCAACTCATAGATCAACTGGCCCGCCGTCGCCGAAGCAACTGGCATAACGCAGTCCGCCGCCCGGCTGAAATGGTACCGCCTTAAACAGGAGCTCGATCTGAAGATACAGGCGGGTGGGTTTGATTACAAGGATATGCGGGTTGCTGAGGCTCAGAGTGATGGCGGGAATGATGTAGAGGGATCTTCGATGAAGGTTATCAGTACCCCTGTCGCTACCGCTGCTACTATTGCTGTTGCTGGAGGAGAAGAATCTCAACCGCACGCAAAGCAGAACGGACAACAGCACTCACAATTACAGGAAGAGAAAAAGAAGAAGGAGAAGAGGCCCCCGAAGACTTTTCAAGATGTGGAGTCGGTCTTGTTCTCGGATTCGTCCTCTGCGGGGTCTGATGGGGACGTTGATGAGGACGATTGGGTTGATGGGACCCGTGGTGGGCGGAGGAAGAGTTTTGTGTTTTATACTGGGGATCTAGAGGGAATTTCGGGAGAGACCACGGGCAATCTTGTTGAGGTTCTCGCGAGCAAGAGGCGGGAGTTGAGGATGATGGCGTCGCAGGAGAGGGTGTCGTGTTGGTCGTCGGATTCGTCGTTGGTGGAGGTGGCGAGATTGTTTTACGGCTCGCTGGGAGATGATTTTGCTTTCTACTCTGACGAGGATGATAGGGGTAATGGCGGGGTTCAGGAGGGAGGAAAGGCTGGGGATTGTGCTGCTACTTAGGGAGATAAAACTGATGAGGTGAAGGAGATTGTGGAGTGAGATGCTCTTTTTACTTGGCAGTTGAAATGCATTCAGTCCTGCTGTGTGATATTTCACACCGAATCTCTAGGAGCGATCGTCATCAAGTGAGCAAACGGACAGCTAGATGACTCTATCAACCCTCAGTAGTATGTGAGCATTGCCATGTTCTCTGAATGGATCGCCAGGTTGACCTAAAGATAAAGAACAGGTGCCGATCAAAGATCTTCACCAGCAGCACGTCGAATCGCGGCACTCAAGCCCTCAGGCTGACTGTAAAACGGACTATGAGACGCATCAAGAGTCTCTGTCTCAAACCCATAGCCTTTCGCCGTCCCCTCGACCATCATCCTCTGCACCGCGATTGGGATAGCCGCATCTCGAAGACAATATAGATAGGTACAGGGGACCCGCTTCCACGCCGCATAGGTGCAGGGACTATGGAAAGTCTGGTAGCTGTGGGGTCTCAGAGCCGCTACCGCGCTTGCAGTTCGTTGCTCATCGCAGTCATTGTAGAATACCTGGTCCGGAGTGGCTGGACGGACCTCGAGTCGGTCCTCCGACACCATGAACCAAGGGAGATCATCCCCGCCAAAAGCGCTGATCAGGGACTGTCCCTCGGCGATGACAAACGAGCAGCAGAAGAACAGACGGGAGACCCCTCCTCTCAGCCCTTTCTCGTGGCGGGTCTTGCTGTCCAATCCCCGAATCGCCTCGTTCGCTGGCAGACCCCCGTAGGAATGCACGACCAGCAGCACCTGACGGCCGTCCCCAATTGCGTCTTCAATCTGAGCACGAATCAGCGCGACGTCAGCTTCGAAATCGAGGTAATGCTCGGGCGGGTTGACCGAAGGTAGGTGAATCTTCTGCGTGGTGTAGTTGGCCGCCTCGAGTTTCTGGACAACTAGATTGAAGCATTCCGGACTATGCCATGCACCTGGAACGAATAGGATTGTTGTAGAGTCAGACATTCTGGAAACGAGTAGGCGATGTTGTTCAGCACTTACTGCCCTGATGGTTCTACCCTCGATGGTCGAGAGAGATGTCGAGGTTATATGTAGTCATGATGTTCAGTTTATTTACTTGATTTGGAGAAAACTGCTCACTGCAGACAACTAACTACCTTGGGAAGGGTTTCTGCAGCAAACCGAATCAGTTTCCTTTCCTGATTCAGGTGCGACTCGCCAGACCGCCGCTTCTTGCTCACTTGAGCGGCCCGGCGTGTGGGTTGCGCACAAAAGTGCGTGCCCTGAATGATCCTATAGATGATGATATCTGTAAAACTCCAGTACAGAATCTGCTACAGGCATTCGCTCAAGTATTAAAAGCCGTTGATATATTGCCATTGAACAAAGGAAGAGGGAAATCCTCTGCGCTAATTATGCAAGCAGTTGCAGGATTACATTCCTCTATTATAATGTAATGCACAAACGAGCCACACGCGGATTTCCACTGGTGATAGACATTACAGTGTCTGTTTGGTGGCACAAAGAAAAGATTGAGTGGATGAGAATGTTTCTGATCGGTGCACATATACATCTAATCACGCGAGGTACTATCTTTGTAAATAATTAGTAGTGGTTAAGGTACCATGCCACAAAAGGTTGATATGCCAACAGGTGTTGTTCTGTCACCTATTCTTAGAACTTCCGGACTGCGAGAAGCGAGAGTGAAGAACAGTAAATACTGATTGCACCATACCCAAAAGATCTTTCGGGAAGGGAACAAACATGTGGGGAATAGAGGAAAAGAAAGAAACACGTGGGATTCGGGCATTATTAAGAAGTAAGACCGCAAACAGGCAGACGCCACACCATGCAAAAGTTATACATATTTATATACACATAGTAACGTACACAGTTTACGGAGTACCGCTTCATTATTTCATTCCCTGGTGGCTGAATGTATGTACTGTACAGTTCGGCTGTCTCTCCAAGCGAGGAGTTCTTTCCGGGCCTGACCGCCGGGAGCCTAAGGATGAGACTAACCCGGAGAAGGTTCTTAGTCGATGTCCCGAGGGAGATCTAGCCCACTGTCTACTGCCTAAATTACGTACTACCCTACTACTGACTCGACTCACTCACTCGACAGTACGGATACTTTGACAATATTTTTCCTACTGCCTGAGCATTGAGCATCCCTATCAAGGGTTTGAGCAAGATGTGGTCTGCGAGGAATCCTCATCCGCAAGTGATTCGGCTCCTGTTCAGCTCCTCCATTCTGGACTGGAACTTTGTACGCCCAGCCACGCTGGTCCAGAGCCCCGTATTCGCCAGTTTCTCGCTCAACGCCGAACTTTCAAGATCTGGCAGCAGTTCAGGCAGGCCCAGGCTGGCGGGTCAAACCCAGGCTGGTCCCAATGAAACTCAGCCCGATACGAGACCGTTGTGCGTTCTCCCCTTTTTTGAGCTGTCAGGATGCTCGCGGAGTGCATGGCAACATTCTATTCGTTATCCAGAAGCGTGGCGTCGCTAGTATCGCCCGACCGTTCGGTAATCGCCTATCATCTCTTATCAACTTGGCTAGTCAGTCCTCAGTGTGGACTTTGTTCAGCTCAGCCCCTAAATTCTGGCCCGCCAGGCAAATCGAGCGCAGTATAGATACAAGATGTCCTTCGCTGTGATGATGGGTCCCTGGCGGATTGTCCTTCTCATCGTCTCGGGAGATCCAAACGACATCTTCTAATATACCACTTCCACAATGGCATCGGAGTCTCGTGCACTCTACGAGCAAATATGGCTCACGCCTGGGCCGACTATGAAATTGGCGCAATCGGCCCTAATGAAGCCTGCACCACTTTCGTGGACCCTCGAGGACCGGACGCGACTCACATATCAAAGAGCAAGAGCCCTTGCACATGCATACAGTAATACCACTGCTGCTGCTGTCATTTCATGGACAAGTTACTGATTGGCATGGAACAGACTTGACCTTAGATGATGTGGTGAACACGACTCCAAGATTCTGGAAGCTCCACATCGACCTGCTCACTGCTATGGATGGTGGTGCAATCAACCTGGTTAGCGTCCAGTATAATCTTTTCGTCGGCACAGTTGCTCCTTTCGCTGCCACGCAGCCCGAATTGGCGTGGGTCATACACCAGGCGATGAAGTTTGATATCTCGTGCGTTCTCTACACCTCTGGTCTGGGGTATCCAATTGACCTCAATTAGGGCACAATTCATGCTTACCGAACTCGGGCATGGCTTAGATGCACGCAATCTCGAAACGACTGCAACTCTACTGCCCAATGGCAGTTTTGAACTACACACCCCGTCTCCGGCTGCTGCTAAGTAAGCACCTCTTGATCCCATCGCTTTAGCATGAGGCTAACGATGGCAGATGTATGCCACCGAACTCCCTCCGCAGTGGCTTGCCTGTTTTTGCAGTTGTAATAGCCCGACTTATCGTTGAAGGAAAGGATCGAGGAGTCCGACCGTTTGTTGTCCAAATGTCGGATGGGATCAAGATGTGTACGGGTATCACCTCAAAGTATGCAGTCGCACTGTTCCAGAACCCACCTACATACGTATACCGAGACTAACAAGCGTGGTGATTACTCAGGGTCTTCCCACCTCGTCCGGGTGCGAATCCGATTGATCATGCCTTGACTTACTTCAACCGCGTGCAACTACCGTTCTCCGCTCTCCTTGGTGGTAAGCAAGGCGCTCTGCAGACGTCACGCAGCGAACGTGACAACTTTTTGGCGACCATCCATCGCATGCCCCCCGGGACACTTTTCCTGGCTGGTGGCTGTATCCCGTTGATCAAGATGGCTGTGTACAACGCCAGCAAATTCAGTTTCAGGCGACATATCCTTGGTCACGATGGGCAGCCGATGCCTGTGATCAACTTCCGTACCCAGCATCTTCCTATTCTTCACGCCATTGCCAGAGCGCATGTCCTCCAAGCGTTCTTTATCTACGCTGGAATGGAATATTGCGACCCGAAGAATACTGATCCACGAGTCCGTCATGCCTTTGCTACAACTTTTAAGGCACTTACAATCCATCACTTCCAGACTAGTCTCAAACTCATCAATGAGGGCTGCGGCTGGCAAGGATACTATGATTTCAACCAAATCATCCAGGCTGATGTGAGCTATTTCCCACCTCCAGAAGATCCTATATATGCTAACTGCTTCCAGCTGGAGTTCCGCGCAGTGGCAACCGCTGAAGGCGACGTCAGAGTCCTAGCCATCCGTAAGTCTAGTCCCCCGCAATCCGGTCTCCTGCAACCGGGGTAAAGTAGTTCACACCCGCTAACTTTTTCTTACTCAAAACAGGTCTTGCAAGCGAACTTCTGATTGGCCGCTATCAGGTCCCGCCGCCTAAGGACTCCAACGGTGTCCTAGCCAGGCACGAAGCGGGCTTAATTGCAGAGGCGAGGGAACTGATCAAGTCTTTCGGCGGCAAGCATCGGAGCGAGGCGTTCAACCGAGCTATTCTTCCTCTAGCTCTTCCGTTGGTCCAAGCGATTGGAGCTCGCATGGCCATCGAAGCCGCCATTGAGGTTGGCATCGATCCTAAACTGCGGGATCTGTATGAAGCTGGAATCATCAAGGAGGATTCCGCCTGGTATGCGGAGAAGGGCGGACTCACCCGCCAAAAGCAGCGCGAGATGGAAGCACAGGCGGCTGATGCAGTACTTCCCGAGCTGGAACGATTGGTGGAGGAAACCGGCGTCGAACCGTATTGCACGGCACCGATGACGTCCGACAGGCTGTGGAACAATCTTGTGGAGGAATTAGAGGTCTTCTCGGGCGAGAGCGAGACGGTGCCGGCTGCTCAGGAGATCAGAGCGCGTCTTTAGAATAATACCTTGTGGCGTTTGACAGTTGATTTGTGGGTAGACTGGAGGACATGACTTATTCAATGATGTGGACTGTTATTTTAAGGATTTGATTACTTATATTATATCATACTAATGAACTGGATTGCTGCAGAAATCCAGTGACTTTCCCTCTCTACTTTAAGTCCAACTTGGTGCTGCTTATTAAGCAGCCCGGAGTAGTTAGTTATATAAAAAATATAAAAGTATATATTTCAAGCAAATTCCTAAGCAATCCCGGGTTATTTTAAAAGTAAAACCAGAAAAACTGACTGGGGTTTACTAGTACTGGTTACATAGCCTATCTAGAATGTATACAACTAAAATTATGTATTCTATTTTTTTTACTACTGGAGTATCTGTTATTTTTCTCTAATCTTCCATAAATACTAAGCCCTATCTTAATCTATTTAATCCGATAGGAGATATAGATATACTTCCAAGTACTAATAGCATTAACATAAAGTTCTACTAAACAGGTTTTACACATATATCAATCGATAATATTTGGCTTGTCGGCTCCGGATACATACTATTTGGCTGAATATCTGTTGGCGTTGTGTCAATGTCCCCGAGTGAAGCCTCCATAGTTCCTATGACGGAGAAAGCTCGTTAGACAGCATACTTGATGGGCATTCTGATCTGCAATCGAATTGAGTACGTTTACGGATATCAATACAAAGACAAATATGGGATGAGCGATTCTATGCTTATCCAGGGACTGCGTAGCAGGAATGCGGAGACATTCAGCGTCAGTGTGATCGAGCGGCGGAAGGCTCGCTCTTTCATCCGACTCCCCCCAACACAGCATTCTGGGAGTTGGAACAGGTAGAATCCTAAACGATAGGTCGGCCTTCGCCGGCTATATTGCATTGAACTATTGTACAGTAGTACCCGCTGACGGGAACCAAGGGAGCAGGACGTAAGCAAAGGACTATCTAGCGGTGGACCAAGTGCCGCCGGCGCACGCCCTCCCTGCAATCATGCCCAGGCCTTGTGAAAAAACAAAAAAAAAAAAAAAAAAAACAACTGCGAAGCTGCCAGGCCTTGCCTGATCAGAAAGCCTCCCGTTCTCCTCCAGACTAGTACAGCGGAAGCGACCACGCGTCCAGATCGTAGTGCCAGGTGTCAATTGAGGCTTGGTCGTAGACACACTCCATCGAGGAACCGTTGTTCGTCCACAGCGGGCGCAGAGGAAAGGCGCAGAGCTGGGCATTGGCGCCCAGACTGGGACCGGCCAGGTGGGTGGCATTCAGGGTGGTGGGGAAGACCCCGTTCTCGACCCAGTCGATCATGACGCCGATGTTGGTCTGCGGGAAGGGCCCGTTGGCCTCGTAGGGGTTCAGCTCGCAGTGGGCAGCGCCGGGCACGAGAAAGAGGCGGTACCAGTCGCCCAGGGCGGCGATGCTGTCATTGTAGGTCTGGCCGGGGTACATGGTGCGACGGACCGAGTCGTGGTAGCGGACGGACGAGCTGGTGGGAATGCTGGCGTCCGACTCGCCGTGGTAGTGGAGAATCTTCCCGCCGGCCTCGTGGAACGCGGTCAGGTCCGGCCACTGCGTCTGGAGAGAGTCGGCGTAGCGCGTCCAGCCCAGCTGCATCCACTCCTTCAGTGTGTCGTAGGTGACGTTCTGCAGGGTATCGAGGTTGTCGGCGGCACGGAGCTCGAGAAAGCGCGCGACCCACTCGCCGCCCAGCGCGGTGATGCTCAGTTCCCAGGAGTCCGTGTCGGCGTTGTACTGGGTCTCTGCATCGCTGAAGGCGGATCCCGGCTGGTACCACATGTAGGCCTGTTTGCCGTCCTGGGTGTGCAGGCCCTCCAGCATGATGGAAGCGGCCAACGCGCCTTCGGCGGAAACGGTACCGTTCTGGGCCGGCGTGGTGTAGGAGACGGAGACGCGCTTCTTGCGGCGGAGGGCCTCGCTCGTGGTCGTGGCGGGGCAGTGGTACGGTTGGCCTATGGTCGAGTTGACGTTGAAGTGCAGCTTGCACAGATCGCTGCGAGCCACGACCCCGTCCACCTTCCCATCGAGCGCGTCACATGCGGCGATGGTCAGATTCATGATCTTCTCCATCTCGCAGGGAGGCGGGTAGTAGCCGATGGTCTGCTCGACCACATCCGGGAACAGATGGTTCACCTGCTGCTGACCGTAATGGATGGCGGGGGCCCCGATAATCACGCCGTCGAACAGGTCGGGGAAGCGCTGCACTTGACTCCAGCCCTCGCGACCTCCCTCCGAGCAGCCCATATAATACGCGTACTGCTTCTCCTGGGTTTCATAGAAGCTCTGTGTGAACGCCTTGCCAATAAGGGCGAGCTCCTGGTGCGCCTCGTAGCCGATCGAGTAGATCGCGTTCCAGTTTGCGGTGCCGTTCGCCGTGGGGAAGACCGCGTCCAGCTGGTTGTCGAAGCCCCCGAACCCACCGTCCGTGAGCCCGCCAGCGGCGCCGTAGACCGGCCCCCCGGCAATGAACTTCGACCCGGAATTGATGGCGAACCCGCCGCCACCGGTGGACAGCCAGCGGTTCTGGAACCGACCCGGCGACGGAAGCCAGAGCTGCAGCTGGATCTGATCCTCGCGACCAGTGTGCGAGTAGGCCAGGGTCACATTACAGTAATCAAACACGGCGTCAGGGTAGTTGATTTGCCCAGAGGCTGAGTAGTCCTTCACGAGACTCGCAGTCACTGCTGGGAGTCCAGTGTCAGCCCCGGGGCAACGTCCAGGGGCAGGGCGGAGGTGGCATGAGCGACGGTGCAGAGCTTCTCGAGGCTCGTTTTGGCCTGCACCGCGGCCACCGTGACCGAGGTGGCGAGGAGATGGTTGATTTGCATGGCTAGGAAGTCGGTGAAGTCGGAGGGAGGTATTTTGTGGTTGTGGTTGATGGTTGATGCTTTTGCTTGTACTGTGAGGGCATCAACCTGCACTTTATACGTTGCCAGACGCTCTCGTCACGAGCCCGGCGAGCAGAACGCACTCTTTTCCTATGCACCCGTCGAGGAGATCACAATCTATTCGCGACGGGTCAACCTCCTCACCCTAACATGGCGCACATCTCCGAGCCGTGTGTGGGTGGGTGTCTTTGTATAATGGCGCTGCGTGCGTTATCTGCGTGTATACCCACCAAGTCAGAGTTGGTCTTCGAACTCAGGAAGCACCAGCAGGCCCACTCGAACTGTCCCACTCACCTGTTCTAAGGATCATCTGTGTGATGAATATGACCATGGGGCATGGATGGAAGAAGGATTGCGGGCTGTTGCCAACTTCCTGTGTGTTGCGTTATCACGAAAAGTTCCACAAACATGATACCAAAGACTGCCGTCACTGGAGGAGTGATTGCCGAAGGTTGGAGTCTGGATGACGCTCACGATGCCCCGGGAAGGGACCTCTAATTTCGGAGTTATTGCAGGTTTAGGGTATCAATGTCAATGACTCGACTCGATTAGAGACGCCGCGTCAACCTCAATATATTGCGGAGACACTGTGGAACTTCCAGAAACTGTTAAACGTTAAAGTAAAACAAGATTTAGTGGACGGCTAAAGCTTGGCTCGACCAGTGCGAGAGAAATGTCTGCATGTATATCCTCAGTACTTACCTATTAGCTTAGGAACGAAACCATGATGCATCGGACCTCGCACGCCGATCTTTCTCAGCCTTTCCCCCCCCCCCCCTCCCCCTCAGGCGTGCACTATAATGTACATCCATGGTGTACATACAGTACACTTGCTGTTGAGGGGATCCACAGCCCAGCTTCCAGGTTGGTGGTGTATTTCAAATTCTCAGAGCCTCACGCACAATACATCACACCACACATCACATCACGAACTGCCGCTCGCAAAAGATCGCTGATCAGGTTAGACTACTGATTAAACCCTGGCACCAATGAAGCAGCCTGACTATCTAGCCAGACAATAATTCGCCATGGCTCCACAGCCTCCACTGTACATCTCACGCTAGAGCGAGGCTCTTAAAAGCTTATCCGCGAGTCCAGTATTTCCCATCCGGGTGGGCTGGCTTTCGAGGGCAAAAGCCAACCCTGAAGGAGATTGATCCTCCACTGCAGAATCGACCCAACACGAGGCCCGAAAACGTCCGAAGTGTGTCGATTGAGTTGTTTCATGTTCCACCCCACTCCACTCTCTGAGGCTGATTGAGATTAAGGTTATGCAAAGAACGTCTGCTTTGGGTGCAAAGAATTGCTGTAGAACTATTTGAGAGCATGAGGAAAGCACGAAACTACCATCTGATCGCAGTTCGCAGAAAGGGGGTGTGGAAATGAGGATGACACCCCCTGGTATACCCATAGTTGGTTATTCTACAACGTATGCAGAGTTAGCAGAGAGTGAGAGGTATAGCATGCAAATCAGTCTTTCCTTGGGTAAAATACGTTAAAAAGGTTCCTAGCTCACATTCCCTTAGAAGCAGCGACACTATGAAATCATGTTTGATTTTCTTCTACATAGTAACATTGTATAACAACCACGGGGGTAGAGCGCATTGCTAACTTGGCATTTTCAGAACTGAGAGTTATATACAGTACATTTGGGTCTGTGCCTTAAGATTGCATGAAAATTCTCAAGCCATCGGTGCACATGTGAAAACACCCCGCACAGCTCCTATGTCGAATTGCCGTTTCTAGACCATATCATTAGCAGGGGCGACCTGAAAGGCCGCTGAAAAAGGAATGACTTACAATATCAACGATACTAGCATAAGTTCCGCCACCCAGCACAATGACCCCTACGCAGAACAGGAACGCAGCTGACAAGTCGTGCAGCAGTCGCTTCCGGTCATTGCCTTCGCGCTTGCGCAGGAACATGAACCACATGACGGCCGGGATATAAAGGACGAACCCAGAAACAAACAAGGCCGAGCTGAGGGCGAGAAGGTCGTTGAAAAACGGGATCACTTCCGAGATGATCCACGCAGCAACGGTGATGGCGAGTAGAACGAGCAGCCATGTGATCCAGCCCTTGGGGGTGTTAATGAACCGGACCACGGAGTTTTCGTACATGCGCAGATGAACATATCGCGCTGTGACCGTGTTGTTGAGAGCGCCAGAGATATAGATCACCGGCAATGCGACCCCGAATGCGATTTTGGCCATCAAGCTGCTCATCGATAACAGGGCGGGACTCTGGACGTCTACACCGACGAAGGCGTAGATCAATGCGCCGACCAGAGTGTAGATCACGATTTCCATGCCGCCCAAGGTCCAGATCGACTTCATATAGTCCTGGGGCGTGTGCATCTCGTCCATGAAGGAAAACTGATACATTGAGAAACTGTAGGCAAACACAATGTTTGACACTGCGATAAACCCGTCTGCGACGGTCGTGCCGGGTCTGGGCCACGCAGACCAATTGACGCCCGCCAGACCCCCAGGGGAGTTCGTTGCCTCTATGCCTGTGGCGATAATGGCAATAATGATAGCGGCCATAATCGAGACGAAGTCGATGTAGCCAAGGATAGCGGCATCGGTGAACGACGGCATGATGGCTAGAAGCATCAGCAAAACAGCCGAAACAATCCCGAAAACCATGGAGCATGTTGCATTGTTGGTCAGAACGTCGAAGGCAATGGTCCCGGTTAAGCAGTAGGAGGCTGTCACGAGAATGAGCTGCAGGACAAACATGATCCCAAAAAGCTCTCGGCCGAACTTTCCCAGCATCAATGTCCCGACGTCTCCGTAATGGTGAATGTTCGGAAGTGCGATCTTCGTTTCTCCCACAAGGTAGCTGGCATATATTGCGACGACGCCCACCCCGACACAGCAAATTGTACCTGCCACCATTCCCAGAATTGCAAAGGAGGTGGGCAGCGTAAGAACCCCGAGAGCGATAGCCTCTACGACAAGCACAACAGTTAGGCGTTTCCAGCCCAACCTTCGGAAGTGCGCAGCCCCTTCGGCTATCTTCTGTTTCTCGCTATCGGTGGCCGTGTCGACATTCCCCTCGCCGATGCTGTTGTGAGGGGTCTGGTCGGAGCTAGCAACTTTCGAGATTTTGTCTTCATCCCAAGCCTTATCCTCTGTGTGTTGAGGAATATCCTCAGGCGGATCGAAACCATGTTGAACACGTTTTGGATCCTCCATGCTGGAGAAATCGAGTTGAAGAGTGCCCCGAACCCCAGTTTTCTTGTCCGTCTATTGTAGAGTCTGAAACGTCATTGTACGATCGGTCAAACAACGTAAGATAGAATTGGTGAGAGAGATGGAGGTACCGTTAAAGGGCGAGAAAATCCCAAGTCTTTGAACCACCTGATCGCTCCTTCATGAAGGTCTCAGAGATGTCTCACTTTCACGCTGTGAGCATAGGACGCATTGGAATATTGGGCCCTGATTCGGAAGTGCAGGAGGGCGGAGCGCAGGAGGTAATCGCCGGAAGGGTTTCGTTGACGTCGAGCATTAAGTAACCGTCGGTTTCCCACATGTAACGTTTTAGCACATGAAGCTACCTTCCTCCCTCCCCGCAAAACGCAAGAGAGGCAATCGCCCACCAAGGACTACCCAATATGAGCGTGTGGCTACTGCGATGTTTCTGGTAGGAGCGACCCTGCCTGCCCTTCAGGACGCCCAGCTCGACTGTCTCGAAAATGTGGCGCTCAGAATCAATTCTCATCCTGACGAACTGCACGAGCATCCGGATACGCCGCATAGCTCAACAAGTCCTGCTATCGATAGCGCGACGCAGCCGGGCCAGTCGGAGCCCCCTTGCGGGGGCTGATCTTAGAAGTGCATCATCGGAATCCGGGTTCTTAGGGCTGACTGTTCCCGCGCCGATATCCCTGCGGAAAACCGGAAACGATACTGGCTGCTGCCTACGGAGAACAGAATGTTGCTTATCGATAAGTTTCCATGTGGCGAGGGATCGTCGTGTTGCAGGCGAATCTGTACTCGTATGTACATTCTTGATTCCACTCGTGGAACAACTATCATGTGCATCGCAGTTTTTGCCTTAGCGTAGATCGCCATGTTCACCTTCCACATATCAAGAACACTGAGTATGTACAGCAGCTAACCAGCAACCGAGATGCTGGAATCTTGTGCCTTTTCTTCTCTGTGAGTTACCAGAGGCAGCCAGGTCGTTTGTCGCCATCATCATGGATATCTTGGGAGCATTCCTGATTCATGATTTCCGTTTCCGGTAACGCCAAGCCCAAGGGGGCATTGCATCGGCCTGGCCGCAGGCAACATTTTATGCAGGATCTTTAAGCATTTATACTAATAGTCACCGGTTCAATCGAGACACAGGGCAGGGTAGTGCTGGTCTGGCATGGTTCCACGAGAGAGTTCATGGTGATGGCATCTAATCAGAACGGAGCAAATGCGTAAGAAGACAAGAGAACAATCCCAAGCGAAACTGGCAGATTGAACGACTGAGAGGAATATGGCAAATGTGTTGTTTGTGTTTATCAAAGTGACAAACTGACGGACTCTGATGGTCTTACCTAATCTCGACACTTGTCACCCCGTCTGGCTGCCGCCTACAACCCATGAGACTCGAGTATCAACAAACACCGACAACACAACCACTTATCAAAGATATCAAAGAACTGCCAATGACAACCAACTTCCACCCCCCTGCCCAATCTTGTGGCATCCCAGTTCACTCTTTCAATCAAGAGTAATCAAGATTGGTGCCATCACGATCGGCGTTTCAGATCGTTGGGCCTCTGGATCGTGGCCTCCAACAAAGGGGCTTGGAGAGTGCGTTCCCTCCACACTCGCAGATACGGAGAACCTCCGCAAACTCTCCCATCGATCATCATGGTTGAGGTGAAGTGCCAACTCAATTAACCTGTCAAACTCCTAGGAAGACGTCAGATTCCCACGCCGTTCCTGTCAGCTGCCATCGAAGTCTTCCTTCCTTCCTTCCGAATACCCCAAGCCTGGTTGGCGGCGGCCTACAGGCAGTCAGTGGCATTGCCCCTGTCAATCAGTATCGCAATGGGACAATCCCAAGAACTCTGGTGCTCGGCTGGAAAACTCAGTCCCACTCCGCGCCAGCGCCGTTCGTTGTCTATTGACGATCAACTGCCCGATATGTCCAATAGGCAATAGCACGTTCCTTCGGTCGAGACCCGCTTCTTTGATGGGTGTTCGCGGCTCCATCCCGCGCCTTTTATCGGGCTCTGACTGGCCCGAACCTGGCAACATCTAGCCGACAGAACTTCGGTCTCCATCAAAGCATGAAATCGGGTTCCTCTCAGCAACGGATCCACC